AGTAGTAGGATAGGGAGAAGTGGAGGTGAACTCCATTGCCCTTTCTTTAATTAAGCTTTTAGCCTAGTTGGGATTGTAACTCTGTGGCCGATAGATTTTCTCGTTCCTCTGCAACCAAATGGTCCAGATGACAAAAGAAAAAAGAGTTCCCATTGGATAAGAATTGATGGGTTAGGGATAGTCTTGGTACAATTCATTTGGAGCCATAAAAAGAAAGGTGTATCCTCATCTTATCCATTTTCCCCATGAAAAAAAAATTCCCATGAATCACCAACAGAGGAACGATTTCTAAACAGATGAGAACAAGATTCCACTGCAGACAAAGATAAAGGGCAAGTGGGTGACTAACAATCCCCAACTCATGAAGGAACCCAAGGATTTTGAGGCGTTCACGAGATAAAAGCCATATGAAGTTGAGGTCGTTGATGTTTAAATTAAGGGAAAAAAATACTCCCTTTATTTTAATTTAAATGTCGTTTTAAGAATGGTACAGTTTTTTTTATTTTCATTTTAAAATGGTTTTTCTCGCACAAACAAATCATTAACCAAAACTTGTCATCCTACCCTACACAAATCTTATATAGAAATTTTATGCAAAATATTAATCGTTCATCTTTCTATTATACAATAAATAACTAAAATTTATTTATTTTTACTTTATTTTTAAAAAATGTCTCTCACAGTTTAATAATCACTATAAATCTTAGTCATCGATAGGGAGCGATGAAGCCTTAACTTGATTAGTAATGATTAAAATGATATGAAAGAAGGAATTCAACGACATTCCCCCCCAAAGCATTAGCTGCTGATAAATTGGTAATGTATATTAAATATTTTGATTTATATTAAAATTTAAATCTCTATAAAAACAGTTGTAATATTTTTTACTTGTAAAATTTTCCCTTGTTTAAAATAATAATAATAATAATAAAACTTTGATAAACTGATATTTTGAGTCAAATGACTTTTATCTAGGTGGACCTCCCTCTCTCCTTTAGACGGGTTATAACCCGTTCCACAATATTGTTAAAAGAAAAAAAGAACGATAAGACTTTGATAAAGACAGTTGGGGACTTAATTTTGAGGGAACCATAAGAAAAAGCTTCGCGCCCTTATCTACAAAATTAAAATTTATTTATGATATTTATTATAATAAAAATTTATTTATATATAAATTTTATGTATTAATTTAT